GGGTTTGTGTCTTTACTCTGTGCTCAGTTAGTTGGCATCTAGTGTAAAGTATTGTCTGCATCTTTCCCTGAATCTGAATTTATTGGGCAGGTATGAGTATAAATACCAGCAATTTGACTCTGGTCGTTTTTGTTCTCATTGTGTGTGTGTGTGTGTGTGTGTGTGTGTGTGTGTGTGTGTGTGTGTGTGTGTATGTATATACAGAAATATAAATACAGCTAAAAACAAGGACTAAGTAAAACAATAAAGAAGATAAATATATAAAAGTTATATATTTATAGATATTACAACAAGCAACAACATTTTCTGTAAATTGTAAGTCTTGTAAATCAGAGTGGAAATCTGCTGGAATACATCAAATACAAGCTGGCAGACGTTAATGGCTGTACTTGGGTGGAGGAGTTGTGGATCATTCAAACAGTAGATCTGGGCTGAACGAATTCATCCATCCATCAATCCATTCAGCCAGTGCTGCAGTCTGCTCAGAGTGTCTAGAGATGATGGATAAATGAATATGTTGAGCCACGCTGTCGCTCATCACTCACTCCAATTGCGCTAAGTGCTGTGTGTTGTGCTTTACGGAGCAGACAATATGATGTCAGCACGTCTCTCTGGAACGCTGTAAAAGGGGTGTGGGTGTGTGTGTGTGGGTGGGTGGGTGGGTGTGTGGGTGGGTGTGTGTGTGTGTGGGTGGGTGTGTGTGTGTGTGTGTGTGGGTGGGTGTGGGTGGGTGGGTGGGGATGATGATGAAGGCTTTCACTATACTTCAAATCCTACGAAGATAGTTAAGGAACTTGCACACACCAGTTCTTCTTCTTTTATGTTTTCCGGTGTAGCCCACCGCATTGAGAACGTCATCTAAAATGAGATCATTAGGCTATTTTAATATAGTTCTGGTCTTAAAATGATTAAAATGTTTTTACTTGGTACTGTGAACTGCTCACTTCTGTTTCAGCTTGTGTCCAAAACATTGTTGTTTTTTGTTCTAGTGAGTTGTTGATTCAACTCCAAGATGAGTTTGGGCATTGTAGTTTGTGGTGCTGTTGAATGTTATGGCATTACACAGAGAGGTGTTTCTGTCATTTAGTTTACCCTCATTGATATAAATATGGTGGACAATGTAAGAAGTAACGGTTTCAAAACTAGTCCAACAAGACTAGGATGAAACCTCTGTTCGTTTAAGGTCAATGTGCTCAGTTGTGGCTAAATTGTCACAGTCAGCGATAGTGTCTATAATGTGAATTCCCGGCTGATAAAAGACCATCTGTAAATGTTCTATCGTGGTGCCAGTAATATATGCAGTAACAACCGAGTATGTATTGAGGAAGTGGATCAGATGGTTGATTGCCAGAGCAGAGACATTGCCAGAAATGTCTCTTTTATTTTAAAAGAGTACCAATAGTGAAACTCAACGGACGAATGGTGTAATCTCACTCTCTCACTCTCAGCGACTCAGACATTCGCTTTAACAAGACTAGCCCCCGCTTTAATGCGGGTCGAAAATAATCACTGTTTCAACACTAGTATCTAGTTTAATTAAAACTGTCTACTGCGCTATTTATTGTTGATTTTAATCGATGAAGTGATTTCATTGACAGTTCCTCCTCAAAGAATCACACTAAAGCACCACTTTATATCTTGTGTTTACCAGAGATGTGTTTAAAATGTCTTGGAAATTAGTCATTTAACATTAAAAAAATAAGCATAAAAATGATTTTAATATTCTTTTGAAGTTGACTAATCGGTCATTTCGATCTTAGTCGACTAACCAATGTAGTTGAGCAATGTCAGTTGAGGCCCTTTAATGCTGCTCTGTTGCTCTGATATGTTGTATGTGTGTTTTAGATTTGATTATCAACTCACACTTTGTCCTGATTGTATACAAAAACATTATATTTTTGTATAATGAAGAGTGGAGTGCTATTTTTAACAGTGGTACCTTCTGTATTTGACACTGATCATCTTCTACTAATCTTCAGTCATTCCTCTTGTTTCTATTCTTCTCTATACGATTTGTCCCTTTTTGAAGCCTTGTGCTTGTTCTCTCGTCTTTCTATTGAAACTCCTCAGTCATTTCTAGTTCCTCTAAGCAGCAAGCTGCCAAGACTGTCTGCTATCACAAGCATAATAAAGCCGTCATCTCAGGCCATGAAAATTATGAAAAAATAATACTGTTTTTGCAGGCTGATCCAACTTCTAAGAATACAGGCCGCCAAAATAGCCCATTATGGCTCCGAGAAGAAGGTTGTGGAACGTCTTCAGAGCGCTTTTGATTTCTCCTGTCAGGATTAACGCTGCAGCTGATTGGCTTAGCCCTGTGGGTCAGAGGTTAGGGGTCAAACTTGGGATAGCGTGTTGATGCCTCCGTGTCCTCTCCTGCAGGAGCTTGTTGGTGGTGAAGGATTTAATAGGAAATCAATGCACAAACCTTTAATGGCGCCAATCATCACCAATCAATTTATGAGCTAATTGACGTCTCCTCTCATTGACCGTGTCTCACTGCTCCTAAAAACACTCTTGAAGACGTAGCACAGATCAGAACCAGCAGAAATTAGGATACACATAACATCAGCTATATGCTTGTAATGCTAGCTGTCCACCATGAATACAAAGTAAGTTATTAGTGAGGAGAGACCACTTATGTCAGTTGTATGTCTCTGCCTCTTGTTGGCCAGTGCCTTGTGTGATACATAAGTGTAGTTTCATTTTCATACATTTTGAATGCACACAAGACCACAGATTACATATCTATGCAGTCGTTTACATTTCCCGCTGCCTCTAAAGGCCCCTCAGTGTTTGCTGTGAAGGAAGGAAGTATTCCACAACCAACCATTTAAATGGGCTGATAACATTTTAAGCGGGTGGAATGTCCAGTGCCATTCCCTCACTTTCACACACGCACACAAACACACATACACATACATACAGCCCCATCTGTCCCCTGAGACCAGCAGGTGGTGGGTGGCAGGAGTGTCCAGTACGAACTCGACCTCTGACACCCTGCAACAGGAAATGTTGTCCACTGTATAATGTCCTACAACCAATCTGTCTGTCCTCAACATCCAGCTGTGCGCACACACAAACACACACACACACACACAGACATGCTCTCCTCGCCATTAGAATCATTATCTGGACGCTGATTATATTAAGGGCGGACCCACAAGACTAATTCCACTAAGTGCAAAAAGCTTGTGCTAGAGGTTTTTTTTGTGTGTGTGTGTGTGTGTGTGTGTGTGTGTGTGTGTGTGTGTGTGTACACACAGTATATAGCAGCCTGTCTGTCCACTTGTGCAAACTCCTATTAGTTGAGAGCCACTGTTTTGGCCTTTGAGCTTGTCTGTGTCGTCGTGTCTCTTACCTTGTTGACATCCTGTCTCTGCTGTCCCCTCCAGCTCAAGTCGATTTGATGTCGGTTGCAAAATTGGCAGATTTAGAGGAAAACTATTGTTGTGAATGGAATAGGAAGAGCAGAAGAGGTCGGAGAGAACGGGAACAATGTGTGTGTTTTATGTGCGGCACAGTTAAAAGAAAATGTTTAATCAATTCACAAAGTCGCTGGTGCACGTGTTTCTGAAGTCCTTCCAAACAAGACATCAAGTTTTAATGTTTGCAAAAACAAATTATTTATTAGCTCTGTGTCTGTTAAAAGGTTACGAAGAAGAATCTGTTTCCAAAATGCCGTGTTGCACAAGTGCTACTGAACAACATGAACTGCAGTCAGATTATGTGGATGTTATGCAGCCCTCGTTGTGTACTTTTATATTGGCTTTGAGTTCTTCTGTGTTCACTCTCAATGGGTTTCCAACAGTGGTGGGCCGTCAGGGCCTTCAAGGCCTTCTCTGCTGGCCTAAACAGAATCACAAAGCTATATCTATTTTATAATTTAATAATTTTTCTTAAATACACTACATGTATTAGAATTTATAAAAATATCTTTCCCATTATCTTCTTTTCTCATTGCACAGCTACTGTTTTCCTCAGTTGCTCTGCTTCCAGTGCAGCTTGTTTTAAGTAGAGCTTTTATCCAATCAGATTTCACCTCTGTGTCTCTAGGTAAGAACAGAGACCCAGGCCTGCAGACGGAGGCCTGCATCCATTTGCAGTTTAAGTGAACGGGAACGATATTGTTGATTGTCATATTCTTCAACCAATCAGCTCTTTAGTTTGACATGTTGGGCGTATTCTTTGACGTATCGGAGCCTGCTCGCCGGCCTATAATGACGTCAGCATTAGTGCAGCTCAGTGTCTGCCGCGAGGTGCAGAGTGCGCTGTGATTGGTCAGTGGGCGAGCACGTGACAATCGTGAAACGAAGCTTAACAGCAGAGGCATGTCGGGTAGTGAATCACATCACATGATGCAGCTCAGCCAATCAAATATGGGCATTCTGACTGAGTGAGATGCACCATGACACAGAGGACTGAGACGAGGAAAGACATTGCAGAGCAGTACGTACAATGCTCAAGTTGTGAAAGTAAAATCATTAGACGATCTGTTTGGGCCGCAACTTGTCATTAAGGAGTGATGGTGGGTCCCACAGCCAGACCAGCTGAGAACCACTGTCCTCCATGAGCGCAGAAAACATTATATTTTCCTGAATATAAGCTTCTGCATTTTCCAGATGCTCTAGTACTATTCAAACATATTGCAAGTCTTGTACCGAACGTTACGTACATTTAATACGTACATGGGTACGTACATTTAATACGTACATGGGTACGTACATTTAATACGTACATGGGTACGTACATTTAATACGTACATRGKTACAGCCTTAGAAACTGATACCTGTGGYGCCATCATGTGGTTATAAGGTGGTATTTCAGCTGAAGGACAACAGATGAAGGCCTAGATATAAAATGCACGGCCCACCACTGGTTTCCAAGAAGGTTTTTTTTTTCCCCATGTGCTTTGGTCGCTGACAACAAAGCGTCTTGTTTCTCTTCCTGACACTGAGATTGTGCCCTCACTGGTCCGTCTCCGTCTTTTCTGTCCTCAGATCACCAGAAGCTGGACCGGGAGGCCAGGATCTGTCGTCTGCTGAAACATCCAAACATAGGTGAGTCACTTTTGAGAGCCAAGTGGATTAGTGGAGCGGCTCTGCTAATTCAGAACATCGGACGTTAAGAAGTCACTGCAAAATCTATTTTCTGCAGCGGCCTTCTGGAACATGTCATCGGCACAAAACCATGATTAGACGCATTTCTCATAAAATTCGGAAAGGTCATAAAGTATCTAAAACAATGCTAGGAATGTTTTTTGAGCGGTTAAAGAAAGCCTGGGGTCTCCAGTTCCAGCAGTGGCTGTTGCACTCATGAAGACAAACAAGCTAATTTAAAACCATTAACGTCTGATTACCACAATGTGCTCTCACTCTCTCTTCTCTGAGTCACAACTCTGTCAAAATCTGGAAACTCCAACATTATACACATAGTTTTAGATTCAGTGTGGCTTACACTTTCCCGCTATATTATTATTATATGTCCATCATGAATAAACACGCATACATCTGCAAGAAATCATGGAAGAAAAGACGCTGTTTAATACGTCCAGAACTTGCCTGAGAATAATCATGTATTTGATTTACTTCAGAATCAACATAATCTGCTGATTGTTGTCTGTACGTCCATGGGTACGTTTCAAACAGGAACTTCTAATAGATAATTCGGCTAATTTATAGGTGCAAATTTGCCAAAATGTTGCTGCGGCAATAGATTGTCAACTACATCATAATTGGATATACCAAGTGTATCTAACACTTGAGTTTCATGACCTCTTTTAGTGTGCGTGTGTGTGTGCGTGTGTGTGTGAGAGTGTGAGAGAGAGTGTGTGTGAGAGAGAGTGTAAAACCCAGACAAAAGGCAGTGGCCCCTTGAGAAAGGAAGGAAATGACAAAGTATCTTTTTGGCAGAACTACCAAGTGTCTTGTCATACTGTAGTGTGGCGCTCAGAGTGAGCTATACTCACACACACACATGCAGGGTGTGATAACAGCATAATAGGTATGGTTTCATTCATTCCCTCTTTCTTCTTCGTCCCACCTGATTCCTGCTCCGTTATTGTCCTACTCTGCCTTTCTTTTCCTCCCTCAGCTGCTCTCTTCTCATCCCCTTCTCAAGGGGAAGGCCGTTCAAGTTATCTTTTCTCTAAATGTAAGCCGTCTGAAGCAAGAAGAGAGTCATATCCAACATTTTCAGGCCAAATTTAAAGCACTCGAGTGCCTTCGCCCAGGATTTTAATCTACCTTTGAGGTGACTCGAGAGCTGCCGGTTAAAAACAGCTAATGGTAAAAGTCGTCTTTGTTGGCAGGAGCTCCTCCTGTGTGAAGGAAAAAAAAGAAGCTTTCACCCCTCTGTGTACATCGATGTTTGCTGCCTGCTTTAGTGCTTCTGTAACAGAGAGAAAAACTCAAATGAAATTACCAGTATCACATTAATTATAGATGATTAAACTGGTTGCCAACATGCCAGGTGGCACTCGGGCTTTAGAAACCTGCTGTCAAGCCCTGGAGTGGATCATTTCTGCTCGGGGAAAGGGCCGTGTATCTCCTGACCTTCTGGGTGTTTAATATGATTGTGAGCATACCATAATAATACTGCACTGACTTAAGAGAAGTGTGGTTCTTGTGCTTTGCTCCCACTGGTCAGTGATCAATGATGCATTGATCGTCTGCCATATCAACAACAAGTAATCATTAGGAGCTTACAAAATGCAGGTTTTTCCTCAATAAAAAGCTACATTTAAACAGATGAAGTAAAACATTTAAATCATAAATTAAGATGCTCCTGTGTCAACAAATGGTTAAACTAGATTAAAAAGATCAAACATAATAATTCTGCACAATTTACAGACTTGCATAAATTTGACCAAATTTGACCAAACATAAGACGATAAAACAAAAACGCCGACCCGTCATCAAGGTAAACGGCACTTTTCCTTCCCTGTCTTGTGAAAAACATATTCATGTTATGTACGTTGCAGGTATCGAGCAGCTGGATTTGATGTCTTGGGGATGCATAAATAATATATATGCCAATTTAACACTTTATTCTCTGAAATATTCTTTAACAATCTAATATGATAACTGGTTGTTTTACAGCAGTATTGAGCAAGTTACTTGAAAACTCAAGCCGACCATCAAATGTCAAAGTAACAAAGTGTTACTGGGATTAGCAACTGTAATGTAATTACTGACTTTCAAAGTGTAATCCCGAACACTACTGAAAACAGTAATCACATTACTGTAACGCATTACTGCGGTATATAAACCGCACACTCACACACACACAGAGAAGATTCATTCCAGGTGGTGGTCGTCTTAACCTAACGTACTGATTTCTAATTAAAGTCTTTCTCTTTCGCCCTCACTAGTACGACTCCATGACAGCATCTCAGAGGAAGGCTTCCATTACCTGGTTTTTGACCTGTAAGTAAACCACATTAACACACACACACACACACACACACACACACACACACACACACACACA